TCCGTTCACCTGCCACATGCCTCTAACTAGATGAACATGGAACTTTCCCCCTCCGGTCATCTGTTTAACACAGGTCCGGAACTGGGAAAACATTCCCGGTTGAATTCCCCCTTTACCTATATCGTGTAGCCATATGTTAGGTCATCCCGACACATCATATTGCCATGTTATGCTTTGTGATGCTTTGTTTGCTTTATATTTATTGTTTCTTCCCCCTCTTCTCTTCGGTAGACCCCGAGACCGATGTCGCCCCTGTGTTTGACTACGTCGACGACGACACTTCTTCCTTTTCAACAGAGCTTCCAGGCAAGCAAACCCCCCTTGAGCATTCCGATACCGCCCATTTCTTTCCCTCTCATGCTTGCATTAGAACTGCTACTGCTTTCTGTATGATCCTACTCTGACGCATAGCCTGTTGTTGTTACCTACTTTCATACCTTACCTGCTTATCCTAAACTGTTTAGTATAGGTTGGGTAGAGATCCATCAGTGACCCCACCTTGTCCCAGTTGCCTTGCTTTATGTTCAATGACTCGATCACGTGATCGATGTCCAGGCCCCGACACCGCACATCACCCCCCTAGTTATACGACTCTGCAGAGTTACTATCGAGTGCCGAGGGTGGAACCTCTTACATCACTCCTGATGAGTTCTCTGTAGTGTAGCTATCTGGTCGGGTCATCGAGGGTGATTTCCTCCTTAACCACTTCCGACACGGCTCTGTCGTGCAACCCCTCAAGTGTGAACCTCGAGGGTGGATCCTCTTACGTTCACCTTGATGATTACATCGAGTGGAATTCACCGGGGGTGGTTCCTCGGGTTTTCCCCTTGATGTTTGGACACACGGATACTTGGACTTTACCCCTGTTACTTGGAAAGACGGGTCGACCCTGAGGGGTACCCGCGCGAGCTTAATTGCGAGTGATGTGGAGACGGGTTGACCTGGAAGGTGCCCGCGAGATACTTACGAGGCGTGGCCGGGCATTCTTAGCCCTTGTCGCAAGTACTCGAGACGGGGCGACGGGGTCACATCGATCGTGAGTCTCTGCTCGTTACCGCGCGTTCCTAATCCACTACGATTTGGATATTTGATCCGAGGGGCCTCTGGCCTGATAGCACTAACCATCACGTGGGCATAGTATGGGCGTTCTGCGTCGTTTGCATCAGCCGAAGCTTAATAGACGTCGGCGACTGAGCAGCGCGCGCCGGGTTGGACTGCGTAAGCTCCTGCCTTGTTGAAGGAGGTAGCTAGGTCTGCTCACCGGCCGCCCAAGCAACGTGCAGGAGTTCCTGGGGAGATGGCCCATGACCCCTGGGGGCATAGGTTTAGTCCGGCGTGCTGGCCTCTCTATTAAGCCTTGGTCGGGTTGCAGCGTATTGTTTGGCCGAGGTCGGGCATGACCCAGGAAAGTGTGTCCAGCCGGAGTTAATCGAGCGTGGTGGGTAAGTTGGTGCACCCCTGCAGGGAAGAAAACATCTATCGATAGCCTGTCCTATGGTAACGGACACTTGGAGTTGTATCCCGATCGATACAACTAGAACTGGATACTTGTGATGAGAAATGGATTGTGATGAGACTTGGATATGAGATGATAACTGGATAGTATGGCTCTGGGATTGCTTTCTCGCAGGGAGTCGAGAAAGGTTCTCTGGCCGAGGTTGATAACACTACTGCTACTTTACTTTATGCTACTCTACTCCCTCCTGTTGCTGCAAGATGGTGGTTTCCAGAAGATGCTAGTCTTTGATAGGCTAGGCTTTCCCCTTCCCTTCTGGCATTCTGCAGTTTAGTCCACAGATACAACCCATTCCTTTGATACAGATGCATACTTAGTTTAGATCTGATGTAAGTCTTGCGAGTACTTTGGATGAGTACTCACGGTTGCTTTGCTACTTCTTTTTCCCCCTACCTGATTGTTGCGACCAGATGACGGATCCCAGGAGCCAGACGACGCTACTAATGACTACTATTACCCGGAGGATGTCTACTACTACGTGAAGACCGCCGCCGACTAGGAGTAGTTAGGAGGCTCCCAGGCAGGAGGCCTTGCCTTTTCGATCGTTGTTGCTTTTGTGCTAGCCTTCTTAAGGCAAACTTGTCTAACTTATGTCTGTACTCAGATATTGTTGCTTCCGTTGACTCTTGTGTATTCGAGCCCTCGAGGCCCCTGGCTTGTAATATAAAGCTTGTATTATTTTAATTTGTGTCTAGAGTTGTGTTGTGGTATCTTCCCGTGAGTCCTTGATCTTGATCGTACACATTTGCGTGTATGATTAGTGTACAGTCAAATCGGGGGCGTCACACTAGCCGACCTTCAGATGTTTCGGCGGCGCGAATGGGCTCCCCGGTGAGCTCTCTTAGCAATGGGTGGCGTCCTTGGGGTTCCTCTTGCCGGTGGACGGGTCTTCGTTCTTGGCCTCGCGTGGTTCGGCACGGGCCGCCATGGTGGGGACGACACAAGGGGTGTCCAAAGGAGAGGTTGGTTGGAGGGATGGGTGGCGCCGACGTGCTCGGGCCACCCGTCGCTAGCACGGACGCACGGTGGTGTGCCGGGAGGATGCGTCCGCTCCCCCACCTCCCCCTTTCCCCGCCCGTGTGTGGGCTGTTGTGCTCTAGCGATGTTCCGAGGTGGGACGAATGCTGCGGTTTCGTCCGTAGAGTGGGTCCCCTTTGACCAAAGCCAACCTCTTTGGGATGGTCTTGGGGTGTCTGGCTGTTGGGTGGCGGCCCTGGCGGTGGGAGGTGTGGCATTTGGTGGGCGGAGCGTGCGTCTCAGGTGCAGGCGGGCAACCATGGCCACGCGGGTGGCTTGGTTGCAGGTGGTTGGCGGAGCTTGGGTCCGACGAAGGAGTGTGCACGCTGGGGTACATCACTTGCCCAGTCCATGTACTGGCCGACGGTGGCGGCGTCCGTGGATGTCATATCCTTCTGGAAGGCTCTGCGTGGCATCCCCACCCCTTTTTGTCATACTCGGGTGAAAACTTGATCTGCGCGACCGGGCGCTGGCGGCTCTTTGTGGTCGTGCCCTTCTGGGAGGCACCGCTCTGGAGTCCTGGCTTTGTCGTTGTCCGTTTCACCTCTCCATTGTGGATTGTCATGATGGAGGTATCTGTTGGCTCCAAGTGGCCATCTTCACATATCTGTAGTGTGCTTGGTGGTCGGTGGGGTGGTGTGTCGGTGTCCGGCACCTATGTATCTTGCCTTGGGTGTGTGTTGTGTGCGGCAGTGGTATGAGTTTGTATCATCTCTCGGATGTAATGCGGTGATGGTTGCTTTATAATATAAAAGCGAGGGAAACCCTTTTTCGTCATAATTGCGGCGCCTACTAGTCATTGATCTCAGGGCATCTCTAGCCGATCCCTAAAAATTAGCGGAGTAAACTGCTGAGTTAGCTTTAGTGTAGTAAATTTACTTCACTAAATTTTCGCTGGACATAGCAGAACTCCTAAATTTAGCTGAGTATAAAATGAATTCGGTGAAAACAAAATTCCATTCAAACAAGTACATATTGAACATACTAACCTTAGTTACTAATTTAACTGAAACTAAACCTAAAACTTGCTAATTTTAGTCCCTACCAGAATCTTCGGCGACAGATTTCCACTCAGCTCTGGACAGACCATCGATTATGGGGTCAGGCCTGGTACCGTCGACAGGGTCGCCAAAGATGATGCCGCCGTCGTAGATGCTTGTCGTGCATCGGCCACCAACGTTTTCGCCGATGTTGCCTCCGCTGCTCCATCGCCGCTACCTTCTACATCTGACGATAAGTCGATGACCTCGGTCCTTCCAGCAGCGTACTCCGCGTACAGGCCACGCTCCACCTCGACCTGCTCCATGTAGCGCCTGTGAAGCTCCGCCATGCACGTCCTCGCCGGCAGCCTCGGTCGAGGGCTTCTCTATCCTCCCGACGCTCGCGGGCATTGGCCACCCGCGGTCCAACGATGGCTCCAAGGGCAGCAGATACTCCCTCCGTTCTGATTTACTCGTCATGGTTTTTGAACTAAAACCACGACGAGTAAATCAGAAGGGAGAAAGTAGCTATTGGGGAAATTGCGGTGACCGGCAGAAACGTACAAGTGCACCGACTTGATGTTGTATGCACGCGGCGCCGCCTCCGCCGAGTGGAAGCTGTCGAGCCAGTGGGTTTTCTAGGTGTCCCGGTCGTAGATCTCGGTGACCCAGGTTACCCACCTGTGTTGCCGCACGCCATTTGTAATTTGGCTCTGACGGCGGCGGTGGGAGGTCGGGGGAACCCGGTGCAGCGGGAGAGGAGGGGCGGGAAGAAGAGGCGCCGTCGGCGCGGGAGGAGGCGACCGCGCGGGGTCGATCCTCCGGCCAGGCGTTGCGGATGGGCTGCGGCCAGCGGCCTCGGGCGGATCCAGCTATGGGAGGAGTCGGCCGGTGGTGGATTTGGGAGGTGGGGTAGGACTTGAGCACTTGGGCGAAGGGGGGATATATCCACGGTTGCCAGCTCTCTTCAATCTCACAGAATGTGCATGTCCAGAAATAATATCAAAACCCATGAATCAGGGTGCCATGGAAATCATAAAAAGCACACACCAACGCCATATAGAAGGGAGATTAATATCATTGGCACAACAGTGTTCAATGGGATTTTCTGAATTTTATTCCCAATTTCAGTGACAAGGTGTCCATAAGAACTCCCATTATACTCAGAGTGGAACATGCAACGTTTGCGTGGCAGCAGCGTAGCGCAGATGAGACAATACTGATTCGTAAGTCAAAAGCCGAAGCAAAAAGCCCCTATTTAGGAGCTTTTGTGGCCTTTTTGCCAAAGTGAAAAAAAAATGCAAAAGCAAAATCATAAGCGCAAACAAACAGGGCCTATCACCTTGTCAATGCTTGCCATCGAGGAGCACAAACTCACAGTAGACCATTTAGCACAAAATTACATCGAAGTGAAGTTGAAATAGTTGGCAACAAAATATAGTAGTATACTAGACAAACATGCCCGGAAAGCGCAAGCAAGATACGCTTCAATTTTTTCTCCCACGCGCAGCCTTGAAAAGGTCAATCACCACCAAAGGGCAGCTTGCCTCCAGGTGCTTATACCCCTCTGTCGCCAACACAGCATCAAGAGTGGCAGAAGTTTTGATGATGAACTCAACACACCTCGCCTTGAGCTCCGGGCAGTTGTGCAGGTCGGCTAAAGCCAAAGTTGTCGCTGCTGTGTTGACGTTGATGCCACCAGCGAGCTCGCCTGCGCAAATGAGCTTCAGCCTGTCCAGTCCATACCTGTCAGCGGCAGCAAGGAGATGCTGAGCCATCACCGTCACCGCCGCCTCCTGCTGTCCGAATTCTGGCATGGTGTCGGTATAGATGGCCTCCACATCTGCCTCTACCTGTTGTCCGAATTCTGGCACGGTGTCGGTGTAGATGAACTGAAGAAGGGCCTTGAATACGGTAGCGTCCATGTCCTTGATCTCCACAGTCTGAGAGCACTTCTCCTTCATGTCTCCAAAGAACTCGGCCATACAAACAGGGGATCTTGCGGCGAGGATGAGCTTGTGCGCAGCAAAAGACTCACCAGACACGAGAAATGTGACGTCCGCTCCAGTCTCGCTCTGAAGGAGCTGAGCAAATTGCAGGTGCAAGTTAGAGGGTGGGAGATGCACTTCTTTCAGGGAGACCGTTGCTACATCTGGTAGTTCCTTGAAAACCTCAAGGGTGCATTGCACAGTAAAAGAGTCATCCTTGACATAACCCGATAATTCGAGGTGTTCACATCTTGTTATGAGGGGCACTTGAGATGAGCTATCTTGGGGTTTCCTGAATATTATTGACCTGCAATCTTCTTCAGACGGCTTAAGCCTTCCTGTTGGATCTACCAAGCAACAGCGTAGAGTCGTCCTCACAGCACACGTGCGGGCTTCACTTAGAAAGATAAGACGTAGTGACACCCAGGAGCGATTGAATTCCTCATTGGTCCGTGGATAAATACGGACTTCCCAATCATACCCGTCGAAACTCCATCTGGAATTGAAGCTGTAGTCCCTGCCTATGCCCATGGTCATGCTAAACCCATCGATCTTGAACAGCCGCACGGAACGGACGACTTCGGTGAGGTTTGTGCAGGCCTTTTCCATGGCGAAGGTCTGGGAGTGTTTCTGCGCAGGAATGATTATGGATCAGTACAATCCAGCACTTCTCTTCCATTATATTGATATATAAAAAACTCACCGCGCAAGGCCTGCGAACCAAGGAGGCGAAGGACGACTTACGGTGCCACCAGAGAAGAACCGGTCAGGTAGCCTCAGCGTCGCACCAGCGAAGGAGACGATGAGAGCGAGGCGGATAAGCTGGTGTCCCAGCGTCCACGATCCGGATCAATCCCGACAGGTCGATGCTTTGGACAGGAGATGAGGGGGTAAAGAGGGAGAAGAGAGGGGGAAAGAGGAGAGGCAGAAAAGCAGAGTGTTCACCCAGCAAGAATAAACAGGACTTGTGACGGCGACTCATATTGATGGTGGGTGACCAAGAGAGTGGAAGGTGACTGGGTGAGATGAGTGGAAAAATGAAAAGATTCCATCGGGCAGGGCCCCTTGAAATGAGAAAGTATGGAAAGAAAGGGGACATTTAACAAACAAAAGTTCTCCACCACCTGATCTGACCATTTATTCTACCTAACTCTCTCTTTTTTTTCTAGTTTTTTAGGTACTCTACATATATTATCTGATAATCATCAAGGAAAGCAATACCATGACACGACACGACACAAAAACTTATCCGTTTGCCAATTGATCGAAACCATGGCTGACATCTTTGCTCCAGCACTTGGTAGTAAAGAATATAGATCAAAGCGAATGACAGCTCTCAAGAAAAGAAGAAGGGCGTGACACACGAACTCGTATGACCTCATCAGCCAGATCCATGAGAACACACCTTCAAAAAATCATCGGTGAGCCATGAGCGCCTAAAAGAATGCCGCTGTCACAAAGTCGGGGCCCAAGGGCCTTATTCGCACCCAACGTTGTATCCATAGCTGAGACACTACATTCAGAGACAACCCACAAAATGTCTTGGATCCCCACACCTATTCCCCTACTTTGCTACAGTCCACGCTGATTGCTTGGTGGCACCTTCGGGGTGTCATCTTGAAATAACTTCACATTATGCAGTTTATATATGCACAGTTACAAAACAAATGCAGGCCAGGTAACCCACAAAGGCTGCACAATATACTGCACTTTTCCACTTGAACTTATTATAGAGTTTACTTTAGCCATAGTCATATCATAACGTAAACCATAGTCCCCTTCAAATAACTTCACATTATGCAATTTATATATGCACGTCATATGCATGCTTCGTGTTGCCCACTGGCATCCCCGGTCACGATCTATAGCATAAGGGAACCGAAGAAGTAAACAACGTAAACATATGGAATTTTGTTTATAATAAAATTTCTAGCTTCTTGTAATAACTAATAAGAGTCGATGTGTCACATATGTCAATTTCTGAAGAATACTGTACAAGCTGTAATGAGCTGCTTACACATGACAAATAACATTCATGCGATAATTTCTTAGCATTTACAAATAAAAAAACTTGCATGTGCTGCCATACCATCAATTATATTCCTGGAGTTTGGAGATCATCGACTTCCGAGCACGAGCAGTCAAGACTTGTCCAAGTGAACCTGCTCCGGAAGAGACCACAGCTGGATAAGGCATCAAAACAAACACTAGATTTGCCCTTTGTCGAAAAAGAACTCTTAACAACAGTGAAAAGAAGGTTCTTGCAAACCCTGCACACACTGGTTATATATCACCGTGTGACACTGATAAGCTTATAAGGAGACAGATAGCCAAACAACTTGTAAAGAGAAAATGTCAGATGCAGATATTAGAGGGAACGATGAATATGCAACATTTTGTGAGAAAATGCATTGATTTCTGGTTTGCACAGAATAAACAGGATTGAGCTGAAGAAGCAGCTTTATGAGCTTTCCAAAACTTTACTCTGTCATCTACATGTATGATATTTTGACTTTTCTTAAAGAATGAAAAATATTTGTGTGAGCCCGGAGCATGCGCTTCTGAGTTGATTTAGCAGTTACATTACTGGTAACTTGTAGCTTATAGTACTGGTACAAATTGATGCATGCCAGAGAAGAATGTTGTAATCAAAGGTGAACTATTTGTGGAGACATCCTTATATAATGACCGAGAGGAACATGTAAAATAACAAGAACAGCTATTGTGCTTTCATAACATGGATCAAACTCTTGAAAGTTTGAAGATTTTAGGATTTGAGGATGGACCTGATACAGAGGGACCAAAACATGGACATGACACCAAAATAGACACAAACCTTGCATGCTTAAAAATACCAAGAAAGGGCATCACTGAATATTCAAATATCTAACTCCGTTATAGCTCCACAAATATTTCAAAATCGTGAGGATATTGCAGGATGTTGTGGAAAGTATACAATTATACATACCAGATACCAAAAGGTTGGTTCAGGTTTGATTCCTATAAACAGGAATCATTTTATTTGATGTGAGAATGAAGATGTTCAAAAGAACTCCCAGGATACAGAAGACCTGGATTATGTAGCAGCGGCTGACCAAATCATGTACGAAACTATACACACTCTGAATCATCCAACTTTATTTATCCCCTTGTACTAATATTGATAAACATGCAACCAAATCTTGGACGACATTGTACTAAGTTACATCAAAATTGGAGGAGCACTGAAAGCGTTAAGTTGCTCATAACAAAACATATATAGATGCACATAAGTTTTCCATTTTAGGTAAATGCTGACATAAGTTCTACTACACCACACATGGACTCTTACTCACATGGACAGACTTGAGAAGCTCAGTCAGGACCAAAGGGCAGCTTGCTTCGAGGTGCTTATACCCATCTGTCGCCAACACAGCCTCAAGAACAGCAGGTGTGCTGACGATAAACTCGACACATTTGGCCTTGAGCTTGGAGCAATTGTGCTGCTCCGCCAAAGCAAGAGTGGTCGCTGCGGTGTCGACAGTGATGCCATCACAGAGCTTTATTTCACAAATCAGCTTGAGCCTCTCAAGTCCATACATGTCAGCGGCGACAAGCAAATGTTGAGCCAACGTCGTCACCTCCTCGAGCGGTCTATCAAGCTCAGGCACCGTGTCAGTGTAAATAAAGTGGAGCATGGCCCTGAACGCCGCCACCTCCATATCCTTGATCTCCACGCGTGCCGAGCACTTCTCCTTCATGTCTCCGAAGAACTGGGCCTTGAAAACCGGAGACCTTGCGGCAAGTATGTACTTGTGTGCAGCAAACGACTCATAAGACACAAGAAACGTGACATCGGCTCCCATCTCGCTCTGCAGGAGTTCGCCAAGGTGCTGGTGCAAGTTGGTGGAAGGTTGGGTGATCACTTCTTCAGCTGGGATGGTTGGTGCTGGTAATTCCTTGAGTACCGTGATCGCGCATCGCAGGGTCAACATATCATCCTTGATATAACCAGATGGTATCTTATTTCTGTCCATGAAGACCAATGCCCCGAAGTCTTGGGGATGATAGAAGGTCTCTGACACGCCATACTCGTGATACGGCTCAAGCTCCCTGCTGAGATCTACGAGCTGACAGGCCATGCTCGCCCTCACGCCCCACTGTGTGCGGGCTTCGCTGAGAAAGACGAGTTTCAGAGCCACCCATGTGGTGCCCGGATAGATAAGGACCTCCAGCTCATACCCATCGACAGTCCATATGGACTTGAGGCAGTAGTCGCCGCCCATGCCCGCGGTCAGGCTGAACCCATCGATCTTGAGCAGGCGCACCGCGCGGGCCACCTGGTTGAGGTTTGTGCAGGCATTTTCCATGTCGAAAGCCTGGAGAGCGATTACAGCTGAAGTTTCAGCGTTTCTGCGCGGGAACGATTGCAGATTAGTACAGGCGTACAGCCGAGGTATGCAGAGTTAGGCCGTCTAATGGAGGCGGCACAGGACGACTCACCGCGCCAGTGGAGTAGATGCCTCCGCCGGACGTGCTTCTGGTCGCGGCCTTGCTTGCGAGTCGCACCGGCACAGGAGACGACGAGGGCCACGGCTAGCCCTGGTCGCGGCCTTGCTTGCGAGGGCACCGGCACCGGCACAGGACGGCGCGCGGGAGGTCGATTGGTTGGTCCTCCCGGCGTCAGCTAAAAGGATCAATCCGGCCAGAACGGCGCTCCGCCGGCCGGATTTGGGCCCCGACGAGCCGGACCCTGCTTATCCAGTGCAAGCGGCGGCCGGGGAGAGGGACTATGGCGGAGGCGGCGCCGCGGCCAAAGAGAGGAGGGAGGTGGTACCCGGGGAGTAGGTACGGAGGTGGAGGCCGACGCAGCGGGAGGAGGGGAAGTCGCAAGCTCGCGCCGGCGGTTGGCGTTGACGGCCGCAGACCGGGGGTAGTGGGAAGAGGGCCATGGAAAAGGACCCGCTTAACCGGCGAACGTTCGTTGGATGGCAGGTCGAGGATGTCAAATTTACTTGGGCAAATCCGTCTCCTGTTCAGTATTTCGTCAGGATTTGTCGTCCTTACAAATTAAAATTTCCATCCTGTAATTTGTGCTTCCATAACCTTGTCCATGCTTTACCATCATTTTTCTGAATTTGATGCTCCCGCCCAACAACTCGAATAGTTATATACCACATCAATCAATTTTTGCCTTTGTAAATTGGAAGATTGGGATTAGTCTGCATTCTTACATAAATCTAGTGAAAATATGGAATTCCCGGATTTAGTTTGCATTCTTAAATAAATCTAGTAAATCATGGGGAATTTCGGGCGTTAATTTGCATTCTTAAACAAGTATAGTCAATTTTAGGGAATTCTGGTGTTAATCTGCATTCTTAAATAAATATATTACAAATATGAAACTATGGGAGGTAGTCAGCATTCTTAAATAAATGCAGCAAAAATCGGGGAATTCCAGGAGTTAACTGCATTCTTAAATAAATCTAGTAAAAATCTCAAATGGCAAAGAAAGGTAGTTTGCATTCTTAAATAAATCTAGTAAAAATCGTGGTATTCGGAAGTTAATCTGCATTCTTAGATAAACTAGTAGACTGCCCGTGCGTTGCCACGGGCCAACAAATGGATTT